CCACCAACCTGAAGGGAACAAGCCACCCTTTAGCCAACTGAGAACCATGGCCTCAGATTTGGAGGTGCTGATTCTCATCCCAGCCGCTTCACACTCGGCTGCAAACCGCCCCAGTGCACACTGGAGGTCCTGGTTTGATGGAGCCAACAGGACAACGTCGTCTGCAAAAAGCAGAGACGAGATCCTGTGGTCCCCAAACCGGACTCTCTCCGGCCCCTGGCTGCGCCTAGAAATTCTGTCCATAAAAATAATGAACAGAACCGGTGACAAAGGGCAGCCCTGCCGGAGTCCAACATGCACTGGAAACAAGTCTGACTTACTGCCGGCGATGCGAACCAAGCTCCTGCACCGCTCGTGTAGGCACCGGCCGGCCCTTAGCAATCTGTCAGATATTTAGTCTGTCATCGCTTCACCTCTGTACAGCTGTCATTTTAAGAATCTTTGCATCCCACTTACCAGAGGCTTTTGTGCCACTTATATTAAATCGGTAATGTTCATATTGTACAGCAGAATTATCACAGACGAAACTACAGTATATGTAATGTACTGTATGCTGACTGTATTCTGCTTCTGATAAAAGTCATCATCAATCACACATTTACAGAATAAACCTTCATAGTGCAAATACCAACTAATAAAATAACAACTGCTGCAGTTAAACAAGACAACCTCATGTTGTTGAGTCCATCGATATATAAATGCTGCATGAGCCACTTCTGTTTATTACCACGATACGTCACTGCAGTTACCATGTTCCCAGGGGTGACAGTGGGAGGTCTATCCACATTAAAATCATCATAACTCACTGAATTTACAGCCAATTTTTCAACTGTTTGGTTTTTTACAAACCCCAGAAATGTATTTATGATACAGAATGTTTAGTTAAATAAAAAATATGAATATTTGCATATCAAAACACTTAATATTTTGCAGATTGTAACAAAATACCTATGTAGTATACTTCATAATTATTAAAAAGTAAAGATCCTGCCACCCCTCTGCATTGTAAAATGGCTGCCATAACACATAATTACAACAAACACTACAGTTACAAGATTAAATGCATATTTTGGCAGGCTTCACGGTTCCTTTTAATTACATTTCTAGTGAAATTGTCATATTTTTCTTCTATTTTATTTCATTTAATTAACAGAAAATATTTATACACAGTATGTTTTGGAAGTGTTGTGCAGAGTTGCAGTTTAGAGTTTATATATGCTAAGTTATATACTTTGATAGACCAGTTTTACAGTTATGTGTAACTGCATCAAGAAATGACTCAAAGGTGCATATATAGCCAATAATCAATTTTACAGTTACACACATGGTCTGGAAATGTTTGTAAAAACTAATGAGGTCACTCTCCTCTTTTAAACACATTGTCTGTCCAGTCTTGCCACAATCTTCTAATGACAGCTGCAGTCACTAGGCTCAGTGTCCTTTCTCCTCACTGCTGTTGTCCATGTCTGTCTTTTCAGCATACTTTTGTGGACCCTATACACACATAATCCTGTGTAGTTTTATAGCTAACATTTCAGTACAGACATAGGTTACAATATTTTATGTTAGCGCAATGAAACAGTTTAGACAATTTAAGGCTACTAACCACTATAGTGAACGTGAAGGTATGTCACACCATGTTTAATGTTGGGACTGGGGCACCATTTAAGGAGGAGACACTGTATTTACCTGCATACGTTCTTATTTTGTTTGGCTAAAAAGTTGCTTAAATCATTTACATCTCACTTTACTTACTCTGGTAATTCAGAATGGATAAAACTGTAGCTAATTTGTAGCAGACCTAGAGACCCCGTCAACAAGCGTGACAGACTGAAAAATGACTGCGCCCTGATATTAGCTCAGCTCTGCATTCAGAAGGTAATATTAGGTAGCAGCTATTGGCAGATATGACAAACATTGCAGATGAATCCATTTCTGTCCTTTCTGTCCTCAAAGTGAATACTTAAGTGGGTGTTGGGATGCAGTTGAAGCATTTGCTTAAAAGAAAGATTTGTAAACTTTGTTGTTATAATACATCAAATCCATCACATTAGTAAAAGTAAAATATTTAACAATAACTTCTTACATGTGAACTGTTATTCCCTGTTGTTTGGTTCTGGGATTTTTCAGATTACAACATCAAAATGCAGCACAATAGTGTGGCATTTTCCACTATTACATCTGGCCAGATGCCCCTGGCATAATGGCAGCAGGTCAATATGTGTGTGCATGTGTGTGGTTGAGCCAGCATCTAAACCAAACAGATCAGGTGAGAGCAAAGTGTTTCCTATCATACCCTGAGCTCTTGTCTTGCCATTGGTGGAAAGCAACTGTGGCACACCAGCTTTTTCACAAGGAGGAGCTCTGTCTGCTTATGAAGATAAGGAGCTTGAATTAACAGCATTTTTTTCAGTGTGACAGACTGGTGATGGAAAAAAATATCTGCAACACAGTAGCCTAAACATACAGTAACCAGAAAAGGCATGTAAATCCTTTGGAATTTTTCTGCATTAGCTAAGTGGTCATAAAATATTTGATTTTGATCCATGTCAGTAGCCTATAAACAAGCATGCTAATCAGATGTGCACAGTGTTCAGGTGGTATTTTTGACCATTCTTCATACAGAGCTACATCATTTAACCCTGTACATAGTGCTGAGGGTTTTCCTCAAACAATTTAACTTTCCTCAGTTCACAGAGTATTTCCCCCAGTAACACTGTGCAGTGTCCAAGTGTCCTTTGGTAAACTTTGGTAGACGCACATTGATTTTTTATTTTTTTTTTATCCTAGGGAGAGAATGAAATGATGTTTACCAATTATTTGGCCCCAAGGGGGGGGAGTTTACTCATTTTCTTGGGGGATTTTAACAGAGCAAACCTCACTGACAAGCTGCCCAAATACAGACAGCATTTCCGTTGTCTCACCAGTGACAAAAACACACTGGACTACTACTCCTCTTTCCACCATGCAGCCCTCATCACTGCATGGTTCATGTCATCTCCACACACAGGTAGAAACTTGTGGTTAAACCTAAAGAGATCGATCGAGCAGACAAAGTCAGAGCTACAGACCTGCTTTCACTGTACAAACTGGAGTGTTTTTGAAGCTGCTTCTACAGACCTGGATGAACTCAGTGTCACTGTAACATCATACATCAGCTTTTGTGAGGACGTGTGTGCCCACCAAGACCTTCTGCACATAAAACAGCAACAAATCTTGGTTTATAGTAAAACTCAAGCAGCTTCACCATGCTAAGGAGGAGGCCTACAGGAGTGAGCACAGGAATCTGTATAGGCAGGCAAGGAACACACTGACAAAGGAGATCAGAGTAGCAAAGAGAAGCTACCCTGAAAAGCTGAAAAAACAGTTTTCAGCCAACGCCCCTGCCACTGTGTAAAGAAGCTTACAGAACATCACCGGCTACAGGAAACCACCCCCGCTGATGTGTCTGCTGGCAGACAACCTGAATGTGTTTTACTGTAGGTTTGAGAGGCAGCAACTGTCGCCCACTGTTACCCACCTCTTTGTATCTAATCATGCTTGGCAAACAAAGTCTGGTTGTAACCAAAAACCCATTAAACACACATTTAACTTCAGTGTGAGGGAAGTGCAAAAATAACTCAGTTCCAGGTTTTAGGACTCACTACTATGGCACTCTATTTGACAGGGGACAGTAAAGAGGTGGATAGGTCAGATTAGAGAGGAAAGGGGGGGGGGGAATAACCAATGTTCCTGACTGGAATCAGACCAGGGGACATTAAATTATATGTTATGGCTAAAAAAGTAAAATTGCAGCATCTCTATTCCTAAAGTGCCATCACTCATTCTTAAGGCTGTTCTCACTTAATCAGTGCATTCTATTTAATTATTCAGTGCTTTGCATTGGGATCCCATCATTAAAATATAGGACACACAATGTTCATTTTCCACAGTGATACTGTGAAAATCTATACATACAGTATGTTCTCCCATAACACAAAACATACACCTTTCTCTGATTTGATTTTTATTGAAGCTTGCAGATCACACCTCAGATATACCTGGGAAACATCAGCCACTAAAAAATGAAACATTTAATACACTTGTAAATTTCAAAGATAATATTAAATCAAAGATATAGCATGTTCTTGGCCCTAGCACCCAGTCTAAAAAAATTAATGCTCACCTAAACAAACTTTTTCTACCACATGCTATGTAGTTGGCTGTAATGATGGTAATATCAATCCATATATTCATGCCCGTACCACAAAACTGCATAAGCAAGTTTATACAAAGAGCATTCATGAATCATAGATACAATTCAAAATAAAGCCAAGTCACCACAGTATAAAAGACAGGCTAGAAGTACAATAAAATGAAAAGAGGCTTTTAAACAGAGGTGAAAGAGATGTAATCTTTTAGAATAAAACCAAAAATGTGTTTTCTTAGAATGTTTGCATTCATTTGCTCTTGCCTGACACCATTACACCAAATTCCTGGATGGAGATTTCTTTATTATTGTATTGCTGAAGCTGGCGTTGTGTGATGAGCCCAAGACGCAATGCATCATCTATGGAGAACTTTTGCCCCGATTTTCTGTCATGAAGAACTGAGGATTCTCCCTTGGGGCCCTTGACTGTGATCTCCTCCCAGTCACACTCCTGACTCTGCAAGTTGACAAACATCTTCCAGTCGATCAGCCCTAGTTTGTAGGCCTCCTCTGGTCTCATTTCCTTGCCTGTATCTGGATCAATGACGACAATAGACCTACGAAGATGGCTTTCCCTCTGTTCCCTCTTCATTCTCACTGCTGTTAGGTTCTTTTGAAGCTTCTCAATTTCCTGATCCTTCTGGGTGGTTATGCCTCTGAGCTCTGCAAGTTCCTTCTGTAGTGAATCAAGCCTCAACTCCAAGTTCTTTCCATCCCCCCTTGGGGCAGACTCAGTGATAAGCCGAGTCTCCTTGCTGGTGATCTCAATTTCAGATTGAAGCTTGCGAATATCATTCTGCAGCCTTTGGTTTTCTTGCTGCAGACGGCTACTTTCTTCACGGATGTAATCCAGGTCTTTAGAGGACTTGGTGTTGGAAAACTCCATATCAGAAAGCCTGGAAGTGAATGAGGCCAGCTCCTGCTCAAGATCTCGCCTTTTCCTTTTCTCCTCTTCCAGGGTCCTCTTTAGGTTCTCAATCTCAATCACAGCCTCTGGATCCTTCTCAACTTGGACTTTCTCAGTACGGACAACTCTTTCCTTAATACTCGTCTTCTCCAGGGTAAGCTGCTGCTGAATGAGGGCATTCAGTTCTTTCTCAAGCAGAGTACGTTTGTGCCTTTCTTCATCAAGCTGTAGTCTGAGGATGGAGTGTTCCTTCTCCTGTTGGGGATCCTGCTGCAGCACTACCTTCTGTTTGACAGTCACCTTCTCACGGTTCTCTTTGTCACGAATCTCCAACTCATTAAGCCTGACCCGAAGTCTTTGGATTTCCAATTCTGCATCACGCCTTGCTTTACGCTCACGCTCTAGTTCTTCCAGTTGTAGATCCAGGTCAGCTTTCTGTCTCTGCAGTTGGTAGAGCTCTGCTTTCAGGCTCTCCTTTTGTCTCTGCTCTTGGCTGATATTATCTGAGAAGGTGTTGCACTCTGATCTGAGAAGGGGGTCTTCTTCCATCTTGACTACTTCTTGCTGAACAATCTTTTCGCGGACCTGAGACAGATCCATCTTCTTCACTCTGATCTTCTCTTCTTGGGCTGACCGGTCTCTCTCAAGATCAAGGCGTTTCTTCTGTTCATCAGCCAGTTTCCTTTTAAGACTCTCAATCTCCTCCTTAGTCTTGGGATCTTCTCTGTATTGCAGCACTTCATTGACCACCTCTTTTGTCTGCACTTGGGGCTTGGTGTCCTTCCATCTTAGAATTTCATCACGAAGTTGGCGTATTTCCATCTCAAATTTCTCAGTCTGGTGGGTTTTATCAACAATTTCATTTCGGAGTCTTTCCAGTTCTCTTTCAGTCTGTGGATCTGTCTTGTATTTGATGACTTCTTTGATGATTTCTTTGACCTCCACTTGAGGTCCTCTGTTCCTCAGCATGGTGAGCTCATCTTGCAGGGATCTAAGCTGGAGCTCTCCATCTTTATAGCGCCTCTGGTGCTCTACAAGTTCAAGCCGGAGATTGGCCACCTCATTCTCAGCCTTGGGGTCAGGGCGGACAATCTCTCGAACTTTCTCCTGAACAACAACCTTGGACTTCTCTTCCTCCAGACTGGTAATTTTCCTTTGGAGGTCAGCCTTTTCTCGTTGTGATGATCTTCGTTTGGTTTTCTCATCTTCATACTGCCTCCTGAGGTTTTCTACCTCCCTTTCCAAGGTAGCATCTTTCTCTACTTTCAGCACCTCCTTGATAGAAATCTTCTCCTCTGCCATTGCCTTCTCCTTCTCCAGTCTTCGAAGCTTTTCCTGAAGAAATTTCAGCTCATCCTCCAGGTGCTTCCTGTCATCTATTTCCTTCTGTTTCCTGTCAAGGAGCAATCTGTACTCTGTTTCAAGTTTGGGATCATTCTGAACTTTGATCACTTCCTCTTCAGTGATCACCTCCTGTTCCTTGCTCTTCTGTTCAGACAGAATTGTCACATGCTTTTGTATCTCAATCAGCTCATTGTCTTTCACCAGCTTCTGCCTTCTTAACTCATCCAGTTCCTCCCGGAGCTTGCGCAACTCCTCCGCCTGAGCACGATCACTTTCTATACGAAGGACCTCCTTCACTGTGTATTGCTGTGCCCCTTCTTTGGCCTCTGTCTCAAGGCCACGCAGCTTCACCTTTAGTATTTCAAGGTCATTCTCTAGGACATGGGTAATGCGTCGCTCCTCTGAAAGTTTCTGCTGGGCCTTGTGGACTTCCTCATCCAGCTGGGGGTCAGGAACCTTTTTGATCAGCTCTTTCTTGGTAAGTGTATCCTGGGGCTTCTGTCCTTCAAGGATGTAGATTTCAGTTTGGATGGCCTCAGTTTCTTTATGTAGCTGTTCCCTCCTCTGAATCTCATCTTCCAACTGCTTCCTGATTCTCCAAGACTCATCTCCTGGGGCAGCAGCATTGACTGACCTGACATTTGTAGACTGGACTGCAGACATTTCAGGTTGCTACATAGGGGAAATTACTGTTGTTATTGTTGTTTATAATGGTAGTGTGATTTTGGTTAAATATTATTATGTGGAAATACTTTACCTGTTTGAGAAGACTGTCTGCAAACTCGAGATTCTGCAGTCTTTGCTTATTCACTGCATTCACCTCAGTAAACCTTGCCTCAATAGCAGCTTCCTGTAAACAAATACATAACATTTCATGGAAAACACAGAGTAAATTATGTTCCCTTCTTACAAGTTATATTCCCTTCTTACAGAGAAAAATCTAAAAAGTCAAACAAATTTTGTTTTACAGAATATTTTTTTTATTTCTAACCTGGGTAATCTTCTTGAAAACTCACATATATCACATGAAGTGACTTGGAGGGTGGTCACGACCCACAGGATGGGAACTGTTGAGTTACTAACTCTGCCACCACCTACATCCAAATTTATGACATGAAAACTAGTAGCTTATATTTATAGTAGAGATATACCGGTCCGATCCAAAATACTGGCACAGATCCAAGCATATTTCACAAGATCAGTATCAGCCAAAATAAAGCCAATGCATTTCCAATCATTATTTGGTTCTATTTATTTATTTTCAGGAAAGAAAATAACCATCTCATTTTCAAATATATGGTCAATCTATGCAAGTAATTAGAAATTTGCTCTGATGTTTTCAGAGATGTGATAAAGTGCTGTCAGCCAGTCAATGGTGCCAGCTAGCTCAGCTTTTTTATCAGCTTTTTGTAAATGAGAAGTGACAGCTACGCTACTACTACTAGAAATGAATGAAGAATGAGCGACTGGCATCGTCACATGGAAACATCCGGGTCAATTGGTGGCAGCATGAACGCATCATTGTATGTCCGAGGTGGTGCAGAATAGATGGTGGAGTGGCTGCAATGCCTACTGCATTTTTATGTGTGTAATAAGCATTCAGGGGAAAAATGTATGTACATGTGTAGTAGGCAATCTTGGATGCACCCATGGATGATATAGGGGTGTTAAGCATGAGCTGCACTGCACAAATGCTTCAGCTCATTGTTCACGAAGGGCTACGTTCTCAACCCAGCATCACAGACACACTTTTTAATGCTAAAAAGATTATGTGAAATTTCAATCATTCACCACAGACCTAGGCTTGTCTAGAAGACATTCAGACTGACATGAACATGCCATTGAAATGCTTGCAGCAAGATATGCAGGTTAGATGGAACAACAGTTGCTATATGATGAAGAGCCTTCTGGAAAAAAAAAAAAAAATTTAGGGCAGACACACCACTGTTGGCACTAGTTGGCCCCTGTCGATGGATGATTCTGATGATTTGACATGTTGAATAGGTGCTTGTGGTCAGGCCTCGTCAGTGAGAGAGACCACTCTGACTGGCTGTTCAGCTTAGCAAATCAATGCACGAGAAGAAAATGGTTCGGGAAAGCCCTTTCAGCCTGTTGCTGTAATATCCATGATTTCACCCATTTAGTGCAGTTTCTCCTTGTTTTTCGCCTCCACAACCTCCTTTCTTCTTCCATAACCAAAAGACCAAGCTCAGAGAACAACAGTGCAACTTCTGTCTGGCCCAGACAAAACCAACGTGAGGCAATGCAGAGGTCAGCCTTCGTTGCTACTAATTCTTTCATGTCAGCTAGGTGCGTTTCTGCCCTTACTGTCTATGCAGCTGAGCACAGTCTTCCTGCAACACTGACAGCAAGTCAGTGTGATTTAATGGAGAAGGCGGTGAAATATAAATAAGGTCAGTATTGTAAGTAAGGAGGCTGCAGCACTATCAACAAGATTATTGACTTGTGTGGGAGTAAAGTTACGGTGGCAGCCCTCCATTGTGTTGGCACATGGCACTGAAATAAATAATGATGTCCAGAGCTCTGATGCAGCAGATTTGGAGCAGTTCTGCAGTTTAGGTTTAGCACCAAACCTGGGTTATGGATCATCCTCCTGGTTTGGTTCAGAGAGTGGTGGCTGTGACACTGTCATAGTAGATGGGCCAGGACAGTGGGGTGCAGTGCTGCCAGTGGGGACATAGCTCTCGGCCACCAATAAGTCCAGGAAACACTCGTCCTCTTGGATCTGGTGGAGTGTTGAAATTCTATTTTCCAGTTTTAACTGGGGGACATCCTATGCAGGGGGAGTGGGTGGAGGCATTTTTAAACTGATAGGAACAGTTGAGTTCTGTGATGCGGCATCAAATTTACAAACAGATTGATGCGTAGGGCTGAAGTCCAATAAAATCCCGGCAGACCTCCAGTGAACCGAGTTACCATGATAGGGAAATAAAGCCTATCAATTTAAAACTGAGACAACTTAAAAGGGACTTAAAAGAGGAGGTAAGATGACAAAAATTTTATATTTAGAACTCAACACAGCAGCTTCAGGATACACACTTCTGCATTCAACAGCTCACAAACACACATCGCATCACAACATCTTTAAGAAAATCTTAGATAAGAATGAGGTTGAGACTGGGTCTACTGTCACCTCAGCAGCACTTGTACAGGTGCAAAATTACCTTGTGGAACAAACCATACCAGGGCAACTAATGCACTACTTTACTGGAAGACAAATGCTACATAGTTTCCTTCACTGGCTGCTACTGTGTCCAATAATGTTTCTGTGTGCCCCATGCACATCTGTGGATAGTGAGAGACTCTTTAATGCTGCTGGCATTATCAGTGATGAAAAACAGAGCTGTCTGTTTGCTGACAAATCTGAAATGCTGCTGTTCCTAAAAAAAGAGAAGTTACATTTTGAATGGACAGATTGCTAAACAGCTCAAACAACAGCTAACAGAGTGAATATTATTTTTCATACAACTAATATTTTGTATATTTTAGGAGAAGCTACAAGAGCAGTTACAGTTAAACTATTATATTTGTTTAGTTTGAGAGCCTGTAACAGCAGTTACAATATAGATTTAGAGTGTTAAATGTTTTGGTCAGTGCCTTCTAAGACTTTTTTGAAGTTGAGTACTGTTAACTGTTATTGACTTTATACAGAATTGCAAAACTACATTGCTGGAGTACCCCAGCAATTTTCATTTAATGTGTGTTGGTGGATGCGATGGCTAATCTGTGCTGAGCAACAGCCAGCAGAGTTGTGTTTTAGATATCAGTTAAAAACATGCACATGCTTTAACATTTGAAGAGAAAGCTTATGCACGCCATAAAGAAGACAGGGACGGGTTGTATGTCTTGTGCACTTTCAAGTATGTGACATGAAAGGCTGACTGTTGTGCCTCACCTCTGCCTTGACTGTCAGAGCAGGTGATTCCAGCCTGCTTCTCTTGTACGTCTGGGGTACAAGTCCATCCTCAAGATCCAGGATAGATCTGAACTTCTCAGTTTCAGTCTCATAGTCCTATAAAGAAGTGTCAGTAAGCCATTAGTCTATCTTATTGTATTTCTGCAAATTTAAGGTACTGATGTGGTGGTAAAATATCTTACTTTGACAGCTTGTTGGTACAGCTGAGCATTTCTGGAAACATTGTTCAAATCAGATTCCTTTCTTGCAATATCAGAGAGCAAGTTCTGTAGAAAAGAGAGACGTTGTTGGGAAACCTTTTTCTACAAAACCACTGACAGAATATTGTTTTTGTTTTCTTGTTCATATTAAAATTACCAGGAAATGACATACAAATTTGGCTGCTACTCATCAGTCTTACCCTCTGATTCTTCAGCTTGGTCTCAACTTGACTCGTGTTATCAGTTTCACGGGGCTCGTAGTTTGGGACTCGAGACAGCCAGCTGTTCAGATTGTCATAATCATTTCTGTAATTGTTGTATGCCATCTTGGCTCTCTGCAAGCTTTGAGACCTGTAGCACACATCAAAACAGATCAGTGGGCAATATGTGTTATTTAATGTAATGTTCAGTCGTTCTTCAAATTATTATATATGCACAGTTCTTAGACAACTTCCCCTCCTTGTCCTAACCCTCTCACCTGGTGTCAGCCTGACTCATGAGGTTGTTGAAGCGCTTGTTGAGCTTCTGGACATCAGCTTCCTGCCTCTCAATATCGGGGCAGTGCTCTTGGAATTTGGTGGCCATGTTGTCACAGCTGTTTTTGGCCAAGCGCAGGTTCTCCTCTGTGTCAGAGATCACTGACCTTTTAGACCTCAGGTCTGATGAAATATCCTGCCAGGATAGTAAAATATACAAACTAAATATACACAATTACATGTATTTCAGAAAAGAATAATACAAACATGTCAATGAAAGAATGAGACTGTATATAAGCGTTCTTCCTTTTAGTGTCTATACCTCACATCAAGCACATCAGTGTGTGTGCAATAATTCCAATGCATATTTTATGATAAATGCATTTACTTAGATATTATTATGACCACTGCACCCATTAACAGTTACCGAAAATTACAATGTTTTACATTGCTGCTATGTTATGTCTGCATTTTTAAAAATTAATGGAACCCTGTGAAGTAGACATTCAATAAAAAACTGTTTACTTCCAGTCTTTCTCACCAAAATGCATGCATATTTATTAAAGGAATAGTTCCTGATTTTTCAAGTTGGTGTTGAAACAACACTGATGAATCCCTACATATGTGACAATAAGTCTTGGTCATTGTCACTTCTACTACTCTCTGCAATGACCCTGAATATTTCCACCCGAAACGTCACTATACTGCAAAAGATGAGGGACAAGCTACACAACTCTTGTTCTGTAAAAACGTGCATTCCAAAGTTCATCTGAGGGGCAGCTTCAGCTGTCCCACTACCTAGGAGGATTACCTAGGAGCTCATGTGTACTGGGTTTTTTGAGTAACCTCACTACTGCCATGCATGTAAACGCGTTATCTGTTTTTTGCCATAATCTGGTTTCTCTCAGTAACTTGGTTACTTACAGTAGGTGCATGTAAATGCAGTCAGTATATCAGTGAGGACAGGCTAGACAATAGAAACACTTCTCTGTATAACACAAAATGACCACAGGTCATACCACTTGTGTTGGACCTTTTAAATGTCTTAACACTTTAAATGTCTTAAAGTGTTTCAAACTTTAGAGCTCATGCATGTCCATGGCATCACTGTCAAGGTAATTCTCTGGAGTTCTATTTTGGATAGCTTCTTACTCGTACATCATGGTTGCCCTCTTGTTTCCCCAGCCCTTCTTGTGCTCTGTGTTAGCTCAGTAGGTTAGAGCACGGCCTTTGTATGCACCTCAGTCTTGTTTTTGCTTCCAGTGATCAAAACTCCAACCTTTTTTTGGTCAATGTAGGATGTTATTCTTTAATGTGTGACAAATTGTAAGGGCTTACTGCAAGCTCCCGCTGTGTTTTGTCCAATGAGGAGGTGTCGGCTGGAGCAACCTCCTCCCTGGCCATCTTGTTCTCATAGGTGGACAGAAGGTTCTTTCCATTTTGAAGCGACGTCTCCAGCTTGTTGGAATTCTTCAGTCTAACGCAAAAGTAAGTGCAATTATTAAATGCATTTCATTCAACAAATCTGAATTAAAGGCTTGATTTTAACCCATTCAATCCAAAATTAAAAACATTTCAGAAACAGAATAACCTGGGGAACACTGCTCCCAGAAAGACCACTATTATCATAGAAGATGAAATACACATCAAATCCCTTACTTCTCCTGAGAGCACTGAAGAAGCTGTTCAATCTTGGTGTACTTTCTGTTGGCCTCATCCACCTTGCTGTGAAGCTGAGGAGCACTGGCACACTTTGGGTTTGAGACCAAGAAGCTCTTTGCTTCCTGCACTTTAGAGGACTTCTCTGGTTCAATCTTACTGACAGCTGCTGCAATGTCCTGAAGGAAAAAGTCCGGTTTGGTCCGTTGTAACATGCAGAAACACTCTCTCACTCTAATTTAATTAACACTGGATGTGGCAATATGAGAAACAGGATTTAAATTAAACAACAGAATGAAGTGGAAGCATACCCTCATATCCTGCAGGCGGTCAGTACTGTCCTGTAGTGGTCTGTTCTGCTCTAGCGGTGGACGTATTCGGGAATAAATGGCCTTCTCCTGTTTGTCCAGGTCACTGACAACCTTATCCAGACCTGCCATCAGCTGGCGGCACTGTTGTTCCTGCTTGTCTGAGGTAACACAATCACACACAGCATGATGAACTGCATGATTTGGCTTCATCTGTTCTCTTTAGGGGCACAAAGTGATCACTTTAGCAGACAGTAAAACATGCTCTACAGAACATACGATTTCATCTAAAATTTTCATTTAACAGCCAAATGCAAATAATTTAGCTCCATGCCAAATGATCCTAGATTTCATGCAAATCTGTGATACTTAAATGACTCTGAATGATTTTGATATTTAAATTACTTAAAATGTGCCCTATTTTCTTTTTTGGCTGTCATTTTCATTATGACAACATCATACTTATTTAAACACAGTACTTGTAACATTGCAAAGTAATTGCTGAGATCTGTAAAAATGGCGACATACTGTAACTAAACCAAACAGAGCAGAGCAATAAACACAAGTAGTCACATAATAACAGAGACAGTTACTCTGAATTATCTAAACCACTTTATTTGGAGGTCAAGCTGAAAGTAAGTGCACCTAAAATGTTCATAATAATCTCTTAATATACAGGAAAACTACATGTGCATAATAAGAATATGCAAAAAGCCCAGTTTTGTGTTTGTATTTATATTTGCCGAGGTGGTAAAATGATTTGTCTTTCTATTTGTATTCGAATAAAAGTAGAACTGGGCATAACAATCCAGTGTTTGTTTGTTGTTTTCATGAACCCAGCAATAAACATATCCATGTTTCTTGATTAAGAGAGCATTACATGTAGGCTAAGCATACACCGTCTCTTCTATTTTGTTTTCCAAAGCCATGTTGGAAAATGGGGTAGGTTCTGGGGCACAGCAAATAAGTGGTCAAAAATAGCTAACTGTGGTAAATGACCAGTAACTGGTAGACAGCACAGCTGACAATGGAGCTAACTATACTCTAGATCTTGCTGTCTGCAAAAAGGAGAGAAGCTTAAGAGGCTATGCAAATATCTCAGTCTTATTAACCTAATCAAAAAAGTGGCATAACAAATTGTAACAATGTGCCAGGTTTTGCATAATGCATATATTTAATCAAACAAATTATGTTTAATATACTAAATATTTAAATATTTTTCAAATAACGTATTCAGATTTGGCTCTACTCATAGTGTATAACCATACAATACGTACCTACAATACATCCAAGTTGAAGCAGCAGGTTTGTACTGTGATGGAGGTTTAGAGTTTGGATAATTTTATAGTCTTTTCAAATATATTTGGCTGACTGAGTTCTGCTTACATGCTGTCTGACTGTCTAAATTAGTGGGGCCTCGTTGCTAACATAGCCTTGCCAAAGGTATGCTATGGATCACACTGGTTGGTTCCTCTATTGTTTTCTAAAAATAAGCCCAGTTATTAGTTAGAAAAAACATAAATCAAGTTTCCCTAAATTTACAATAATGAAGAACTGGATGTGTCTTTTACCTGTAGGTGTGCCAGTACCACTGTCCTTCTTCAGCTCTTCAAAACGTTTGGCCATAACTGCCTTGCTGCTTGCCATATTCTGTTTGACAGCTTTTTGCTGACTGGCCAGGCTGCAAGCAAAAAACATAACATATTTTTATAGCTCCACGAAAATGTTGGAGCCCAGTGCATGATTTTAGGATGTAATGTATGCTATTGTATATATATATATATATATATGCTTATGCTTGTACACACTCGTCAGAGATGGCCACAGCATCAGGGTCAGTGGGGGGAATCATGAAACAGATGCCTGGGGCAGTAAATTTATGTCCGGCTGCATCCTTCACATCCCATTTGGCCCCATTGTTCCGGAGCAGAGTGTACCTCTCCCCACGCAAAATCTGGCCCTGCACACATCCAATAATTACAATCTATAATCTGCTACTTTATAGAAATATAGTTAATATATCTAAAGTAGTCACATTCAAGACACAACAAACAGTTGGAACATCGCAGGCCATACCTCATCTGTATCAAATTCACACAGAGCTTCAACAGGTAGCAGCTTTTGGGGGGTCTCTCTGCGGTACTTCAGAGGCAAAACCTGTAGGCTGCGCTTCTGAAGAGCCTTGACCCGTTCGTCAAAATGGTCCATGGCCTTGGCTTGGTCCTACACGCACAACCACACAAACAGAGAAGCATGTATTCCAGTGTTGTAGAAGGAGTCAGTACAGTCAGTTGTCATCCATGTTATACATATTTAGATATAAAAACACACATCGAACTCTCTCATCAGAATCTCCATCTGATACACATCTTTGAACTCTGGGTTGTATTTCTGTTTGATCTCTGTATCCATACGCTTCAGCAGGTCCTGAGTGTCACGCGCGTCCTTCTGGTACTAGACACACAGAGATACACACACAGACACTGATGAGCTTTGCTTGTTTATATGTGTCTGGTTGAAAAGTAACTTAACATGAGTTTCCATCTGTCCACTGTGTCTTACCTTATGGTACTCATCCATGTGTTTAAGATGGTTTTCCTCACAAATGAGCAGGTTCAGGTACTCCTTCCAGTCAGCATGGACTGCCTCCATGTGAGCCTGACAAGATAGATAGATAAAGATAAAAAAAAAATTTTTTTAATCCCCAAAGGGGAAATCTGTGTGGACCCCATTTGCACAACAGAATATGACACCAACAACAGTCAAACAGCAAAAAAGGAAGAAGAAAAAAACACTCAATAATAATTATACAAATCCAAGAACATAGTGGAGTTCAATTCAGGAATTGGTCCAGTTGCACCTCACAGTCCATCTGATTATGATACAAGTCAACAATCCGTAGATAACAGACAACATATATCAATCACGTTCAGAAAGCTGTAAGTACAAATGAAGCTCTAAATTGCTCTGTGGACATCCTAAACCACTCACTCATCACACTTCTTAGATCATTAAAAAAAACACTAAACAGAGGATGATGCTCAAACTGAATTACGGTCTGTACTCTCCTTCTAGTTCTTTTCTCAAATACATTTTCCAGTGAATCAGTTCAATAATAGAGGCTGACTTTTGATAAACTTGTTGATCCTGTTCCTACCATTAGCAGTAGTGCTGTTACCCCAAAATATAACAGCATAAAACAAGGCAGGGGCCAAAAACCAATTATCAACTCTTTTGCCTTATCAGTATCAACTTTCAGGTAGTTACCATCACGCCAACCTACAAATCTGTTAATTTCATTTCTATAGGATTTCATTAATATTCCCTCTCAAATTTGGGCCACAGTTATAAATGCACCATAACAATACACTATGCATCTCTGTTAGTTAGGCTATTGGATGTTAAACAGTTATTTTAATCTATCAATACCAACACACTGGTGGTAGAAATTGGTCCTAAGTTAGCGTAAGCTATGTTAGCAGCATGGCTAATCAAAACCCAATGGAAATTCACCGGCTAGAAATGTGAATGAAGCTACTCACGTCAACTCATCACAACATGGCCATATCATACACACCTACATGACACTCCGCCTGCAGCCCCTCATTCCCCCACCAACACAGCCCCTTATGTAGGGGTTGTGTTTTAACACAATCTGAGCACCCACTAAGAAGGGCCATTACTTTTTGCAGTCTGTGACATAACAGTAAAAGTCAAAGTGAAGTGTGCATGAGCATAATCTCTGCTTTGTTTATACTACTCTACTAGGTTCTCAAACTAGACATAACAGCATGAGAAGACATAACGTACATATTTTGTGAGAAAGAAACATGTCAGTGAAGAGGTGTGGCTCACTGGTGTGTTTTAATAGTTTTTGGACACAGTGGAACTCTGTGGCACAAACAAATACGCTAAAACAGGTTTTAGATTCACAGACATTAGTACTCGACACTGAGTACACAAAAATCATTGTTGGTTACTTTTTCTTTTTTGGCTGGTCTCTGTATGGCATTTGAGGAAATACAAAAGCACCAACATCATTCTGTAAATGTGCATCTGTATGGAGTAGCTGGATGAAACTGTACCTCAATAACATTCTTTCCTGGATGGTCAGAGGCAATTAGCTTCTCTCCATCATCATTCAGCTTTGTGACGGTGGCTTCCCTGGACTCTAGACATTTACTGATGAAGTTCTGTTGGGGTGAGACAGATGTGGTGGGTAAATGGGATCATATTTCCTTGGAATCTACAATATATACTTGCTTTCATGTGTGGTGTGTGTCCATCCATCCCTCAGCTACCTCATACTGCCTCTGGCGGGCTGGGTAATCCAGGTTGGTGTCACTCCAGTCATAGTTGATCCTCTCGTCAGCCTGTTGGTCCATCCAGTACAACTCATTGGTACAGCGCTGCATGTAGTCCCGCAGGCTCAGAAGGTTGCGCTGACGAGCATTGGAACTGGCCTAGTTGAGGAATAAAAAAAAAACCTTAATGGAAACATGATAACTTGATATCTGGGATTTCCAGGAAACTAGTGTCTAAGATGACAAAATTTATTTGAGAAAATATATATTTTCATATAAATATTTAATAATATAAGTAGTTCAAATCTGCTGAAATTTCCTGTAAGTAAAATGGTGAATTGATGTGAATTTAGGTGGAAAAAATGGATATTGTTAGGTTAAATGTGCAAACTTATTGCGATTATGTGACTTCAGCCCATGCTCCTTACAGTTCTCTTTGTACTGCTATCTGACTGATAGTACCACATACAACATTAGCTTAATTATGTTTCCTGTGCAATGTGAGTAACATTCTCTGTGATCAACAGATTTTATATGTTGTTTGTGAATATGTTTGTTTATGTGTGTGGGATTATTACCAGGAGTTTATTGTACTTCATCTGGAGGCCACTGACATACTCCTAAAAAAACAAAACAGGGAGAGTAAGAACAGAATGAGGGTCAGGTAGGTAGGTAGTACTTTATTGATCTCACAATGGGGAAATTCCTGTGTTCCAGCAGCAATGGAGAGTAACAGAGAATTTTTGCATACTGCACAAAGTCGCTAAAAATTATAGTTATGTTGAGTAAAAGTCAGCAACATTTTAATCTTAATAAACCACTGTGCCATATGAAATTCATATATATTTTCAATAAAAACAATATTTAGAAATTCATATCTGTAACTTGTTTAAATGATTCAGTTTGTTTTGTGGTTGTTTGTTTGTTTGTACCTTGTCACCGCTGGCGGAGATGAGTGGAGCCAGAGCTTCTACTTCACTGTGGAAGATGTTGTGTTCCTCCACCTCATTTTCCACAGATGGCAGGTCCTGGCCAAAGCCCTTGTTGTTCAGATTGTCCTAAGCGCAATGATATAACAAAACACTTGAGTCCACTACACCACACTGACAGTTTGGATTACTGAAATGAATACAACTGATATGACCAATCAGTATACAGTCATGGTAAAAAGAAACTACACCCTCCTGCAGTTCTGTTTTAATTTATCAGGGGTTAAAAAATATTGTGTGGACCTCACCAACTACAAAAAAAAAAAGGTTACAGGTAACACCCCCCAGTTTCAGTATACGGTTACTGTTTCCCAAAAGTTAACCAACATTCACAAACCAGAAACAAACAATTTCAGTAAAATGTAAAACCACCCTTCGTAACAATTACAGATGTCCCGATATTAACTATTAGTATCAGCACTGATCTGGGCATATTTCCCAGGACTGGTGTCAGCCAGAATAAAGCCAATCAACTCCAATCCTTACTTAGACTACAGTTGCAATTTTGAGACACTGTAAGCTGTCAACACTGCCCACCTGTAGGCTGGCATATCACGAGTAGCCATGACCTGAAGCCTATTTTTTAGAAGTGAAGAAGAGTGCATTTTCTTTATACCATTACTGTTATGTAGAAATGCATTAGTTGCTCTTGGTGTCAGAGCTAAGGTCCTCCAGAGTAGCCATTAAAGGATGTATTTAGATGTATTTATCGCCAATCATGAAATAGCAGTTCTGAGTTGTTTCTCAAGTTAATAAACATTATTTAATGAACATAAATTACCTTATTTATACATTATTTTTCTATGGGGCCCCAAAGTGTTCAAAATTAAGTAAATAAGACAAATGAATGATTTAATAAGAGAATAATTATTGTGACAACAAGCAGGATGAAATAATATATTAAAATAAACAGATTTTTAAAGCAGGAAAACAACATTTTATAATGAGCAAAATATTTCAAATGTCTGCTTATTCTACAATCTTATGGCCAAATTCTATATTTGACTGTATTTTTTAAAATAATCATATATTTCATATTATTTTATTTATTAATTAAAATTTTAACCCTTTGAGGCTCCATAAATGACATGCTCAAACAGGGGTCTTTAAAAATATAGAAACTCAATTAAATACACTGTTGCAATAAATTGGTACTTTTAAGGAATGTCAGTAAGCAAAGCAAATGTCTCTTAAATATAGAGTATTGTGTTTCAAATGTATTATGTAATCTAGGAATCCATTCCCTACTTCAAGAAATCTGTGACATTGGTTGGACATGTGGTTCCTTTTACAGTTATTGTGGATTCAAGGTCTTAACTACTGTACTGTACTACTGGGTATATGACAGTGCATGTGCTCCAGTTTGAAAAGAAATTTATAATTTTCATGAAAATATTAAATAATAATAATATAGGAACATCAGAAAAATGTACATATATCAAGATGTATTTTCCAGTTAGCTTTTCTCCTTCTCTGCATTATACATTTCCAACCCAGACATAAAACAACATCAACAATATATGAGGGACGTGCTAATTGATTTATGATGGCTCACACAGGTTAATGTCAGGTCCACAATGGCACAATGACACACTTCCTACCAGTTTCTCATCCATCATGTTGCCCCAGTTGATGCTCGGTATCCCCTCAGTGCGGACCAGGTGGTAGATGCGGTCATGGTCCTCCTTTAGTTTCCTCACTCTATCACGCAGTTGCTTCATGCTAAATACACACACACACGTACACATTTATTAGATGGATGCGACAGTGGTGGTGGGTAAAGCAGTCTCCCAACCAGAAGGTTGAAGGTTCGAATCTCTGTGCCTGCAGTCCACATGTCGGGCAAGCCCCTGAAACCCCCCCCCCCCGATGGTTCTATACCAGAAACAAATTCCTTGTGTGTAACATACTTGGCCAATAAAGGTTATTATCCTTAGAGTAAGTATCCTTAAGTGTTCATTAAGTTCATCATACCATCACTAGCTTAACATAGTGAAGGGCTCTTTGTACGCTATTGATCCTGCGAACTGTGCTGCCAGGTGTAATAACAACTGCTTTAGGAAGAGGACAGACTCATGACCGACTCAAAATAATGCAGGGGAGTTATGGGAGGGGCTTAAAACTATTGCAGGTCAGTCAATTAAAGGATGAGCCTCTCAGTTTGAAAGACCAGGGGTGGGCAAATGAGCTACATTTATTTTTTAAACGGATCTGGTACTTCCCACAGCTGCCCTGCCCCCTAACCCCACCTGATGTCTATGACATCAGAAATAAACTTTTGTGAGGACGTGTGTGCCCAACAAGACCTTGTGCACATACTGTACAACAACAACAAAGGGCTTGTTACTGTATTGATTTACAGTATCAATATTTTGGATATAGTTGACTCATGAAAAGAGATGTTAACCAGCTTCAATAAGTCCTACAAGGCATTAGCTGCTACTCTATGGTTCTTTTTTTACCTCTTTGAGTATTCTGCATTGTGCCTTTGGGGTAAGCATGGCTGGGCACCCACCTCTGTGGAGAGCAGCCAGAATAGCAAAATGTTTCCATTTACAAACAATATGTCTTAACTGTGGACTGATGAACATCTAAAGTCTTTGAGATGACTCTGTGACCCTTTCCAGCTACATGCAAATCAGCAACTCTTGATCATAGGTCTTCTGAGATCTCCTTTTCTGTGAAGCATGGTTCTCCAGGACCTTCTGAGGAATCTACCATCTGGAGTCTCCTGTCTAGACCATACTCAGCACAGATGTTTCTGTACACAATACCAGCTACTTGGCTGTGCCTTTCAGTGTACGCTGTTGCTGCCTGCATTTTACATCCTGCTACTATGTGTTGAACTGTATCTGTGGTCTCTTTGCAAAGTCTGCACCTGTCTGGTTTGGTAGACCCTTGCTTTGATTGATCTTGTGTTTAGTGCCTGATCTTGTGCTGCTATGATCAGTGCCTCAGTGCTGTCCGATAGGCCAGCCTTTTCCAGCCACTGGTAGGATTTCCCACTGTCCCACTGTTTCTTCATGTCATATACTGTAGCACATGTGTTATAAAAAAGCCCAGGATCCGAGTACTACTCACTCCTGTTCTATCATCTCAGCCTGTGGATGCTTGAGACGTTTTGCGTTGGCAGCATCCTCATCCAGGCTGCTGAGCAGTTCCAGCGAGTTGAGGATTCTCTTGTTGGAGTCTTCCTGATACAAGGGCTGCTTCCCCTCATTGATCTTGTTCACATCCTGCCAAAAAAACACATCGAGTGTAACAAAATTAGCCAGGTGCAGTAGAGAAACCCTGCTATCTACTATTAAATGTCAAAATAAACACAATTACCAGCAGAATAGACATACAGGGTGAAGTTAAGTTTATTCTCAAGCAGAATTATTTCAATCTCTCCTTATCCTTCCAGACTGCTTCTTCTCATGTTTTGTGTTTTGCTAGTGTCCTTGTCACTACTAGTGACAGGACACTAGTGACTGGGCTGCAGGTTCAGTCAGGTTGCACAGGTTTTCCAGTTACTCCAAGATGGCACATCCATAGGTACAGTTGCAAGAAGGTTTGCTGTGTTTCCCAGCACGGTTTCAAGAGCATGGGAGAGATACCAGGCAACTGGCTGTTACACCAGAAGAGCTGGACAGGGCTGTAGATGGGCAACAACCCAGCAACAGGACTAATATCTGCTCCTTTGTGTAAGGAGGAATAGTGTAACCACTGTGAGAGCCCTACAAAATGACCTCCAGCAGGCTACTGGTGTGCATGTTTCTGAGCAAGCTGTCAGAAACAAACTCCATGAGGGTGGCATGAGGGCCCGACATCCTCTAGTACAACATGTGCTCACAGCTCAGCACCATGCAGCTTGACTGGCATCCACCAGAGAACACCTGCATTGATAGGTCTGCCACTGGTCCCCTGTTCTCTTCACAGATGACAGCAGGTTCACACTGAGCACATGACAGTCATGAAAGAGTCTAGAGCTGCTGTGGTGAACATTATGCTGCCTGTAACATCATCGAGCATGACTAGATTGGTGGTGGTTCAGTGATAGTCTGGGGAAGCATATCCTTGGAAGGCTGCACAGACCTCCATGTCATAGCCAACGGTACCCTGACGTCTGCGAGGTATGGGGATGAAAGCCTCGGAGCGAATATCAGACCTTACGCTGGCACAGTGGCTCTTGGGTTGCTCCCCGCCCGGCTTCATGTGGCCAGAGTGTGTAGGCAGTTCATGGATGATAAAGGCATTGATGCCAGTGTCTGGCCCTCACATTCTTCTGACCTAAATCCAACTGAACACCTATGGGACCTTATGTGTCAGTGCATCCGACGCCACCAAGTACCGCCACAGACTGTCCAGGAGCTCACTGATGATCCAATTATGCACACCATGGGACAACCCAGCCATCATACCACTCAGGAAGGAGATGCGTTCTGTCTCCTAGAGGTGAATGTGTTTTTGTCCTAACAGTATAAGTCATTCCTAAAAAACAGCAAAAAGGGACAAAAGTATCTGTATCCACAGTAAAACAAGTCCTATATCAACATAACCTGAAAGGCTGCTCAGGAAGAAAGAAGTCACTGCTCCAAAACTGCGATGAAAAAGGCAGACTACAGTTTGCAGCTGCACATGGGGACAAAGATCTTAACATCATCCCAACTGTGAAACATGGGGGTGGCAGCATCATGTTGTGGGGGTGCTTTGCTGCAGGAGGGACTAGGGCACTTCATTAAATAGACAGCATCAATTGGAAGGAAGATTATGTGGATATATTGAAGCAACATCTCAAGACATCAGCTATCTTGGTTGCAAATGAGTCTTCCAAATGGACACTTACCTCAAGCAGACTTCCAAAGCTGATCTTTCATATTTATTATTCAATATTTTGGCTAAAGCCCGGAGGTGAAGTGTGTTGCCAATTAATTACATCTACTTAGATAAACCTGGCAAAATGTATGAAACAAATAGAACTGAGGCTATTTAGAGAGTGAGACTGTACCTTGTTGAGGTTCTGCTCAACATCATAGATGTTCTTCTCCACTTTATCAGCATTCTTCTGTAGCTTCTCAATCAGTGCAGTCAATTCTGTGGATGGAGCACTGGAAGACAAACAAAGCCATTGTGTGTTACAACCAAATGTTACAGATGTAGGCATTCAAAAAGTCATACTTTTTCACTGCATTATGTCTGCTGTGTCCTGACAGTGGTGTTGCATCATTAATGCAGTGTTCTTAACCCAGCACCAGGCTCAAAATCCAAACTGCAGTTCCTCTTTCTGCCATCAGCTGTCACAAAGCCTGGTATACTGTTTGTGGATGCACACACAGCATAGCAGGCTTCTGAACTGTCTGACCTTATTCCTTATCATACAGGTACCCCACCAGATACATAGTTATAACCTGTTACACTAGGTTTCACAATGTCTAGTCAATGATCTGTTAACACAGTACTCTATATTACTGAAATAGTAAACACGAAACTGTAAATGCAGATAGGTTTTATAGGGAAAGTGTTAGATTTTCGGATTGGATTCCAATGCCATCTACTTCAGAAATGTATGAAGCACTGCCTTTTCCTACTGAAGCAGAAACACACAAAGGAAGTGGTGAGGACAGTAAAGGCACAAAGTACAGTGCTATCATATGGTAGACTCAGGTTTGGCTCCACTCTAAATGTTTTTGTTTGTGTTGTTTTGTTTTGCGGAAAACTGTATATTGGGCTGGAACCTGTAGCAGAGCAAGGGGGGGGGGGGGCAGAGGGTGTGACCACCCCAGGCCTACGGTAACAAAAGCTCCAACTTACTGGACCAGTCCACCTGACTCAACCTGCATTTTTGTTGTTTGGCTGAATATTTTAAATAAAGTCTGTTTGCGTGTTTAGATTGTGGCAAAAGTCAGGCTCTGAACATATCTGTGTCTTCTGCAGAGCAAATATAAGCCCCAGGCCACTGCCAAAGGGTTTTCAACTTATGCAGCAAACAGCAACAGTGGGAAAACGGTGGCCTATCTGGTATAGTCATTATAATCAAGAGGTTACATATCATCATCATTACAGATGTCAATCTGTAGAGAGAGAGAGATGTCAGGTGTCAATATGGAGACATCTGTGTGTTTGTGTGTGTGTGTGTGCATATGCATTATTTCATAGAACATGACCATAGCCCTTGAAGTGCAGATGCATGCATCTGTCATGGCCTATACTGTACTGTATATGCCTAACACAATGTGCTGCCTGTCAGTTTATCTGTCTTTATATTCCATCTTATGTTTCACCCTTTGATTATACTGTACCAGTGCTTTTGGAGTTTGGTACAGCTGCACTAGTGAACTAGCTGGACTAAACTGGAGCCATGAATTTATTTTTGTTTTGGGGGGGGGGATTCAAGGTAGATAGGGTTATTTAATAAGAAGAATTTACACCTTTCATTTGGCCTGAGTATGTTATGATAGTATTTCACTCTAATCGGCTCTCATCAGTTTTAGGGCAAGTCAAAACCTATCACATTATTAACTTTATGCATATTTAAAAAGTCTGCATGTCCATGAAACAGGGGTGGAACAGTTCACAAAACGCACAGTTCAGGTTGTATGAAGGTTTTTGGATCAGTTAATTATTCAGACCAGCGAAATAAATACATAAATGAATACATTTAGTCAGAGCTACAGGCATGGCTTCACTGACTGGAGTGTTCTTGGGGCTGCTTCTAGAGACCTTGATGAATTCATTGACACTGTGACATCATACTGTACATCAGTTTTTGTGAAGACATGTGTGCCCACCAAGACCTTCTACACATAAAACAAGAACAAGCCCTGGTTCACAGTAAAACTCAAGCAGCTTTGCTGTGCCACGGAAGAGGCCTACAGGAGCGGAGACAGGATACTATACAACCAGGCCAGAAGTTTACAGCCCATGGCGCTGCAGCTAATCACTTTGCTGCTAGTGAGGTAAACTGCCTTTATCTAATCTATATAATCTACCCAATCTGCAATATATTATGTCTGTTGTAGAAAATAATACCGTATTTCTGGTTTAGTTTCATTCCAAATGACTCAGAGCCACACTAATATGTACCGTACACATCTACTGTACATAGTATATGACCACACCAGTTTTCTGCCCATGAGCTAAATTTATTAGTCACAACTTTCTATTCAATGTTTTATTTTCCTCCTTTCTTCATGCCAAGCAAATGACTCACAGCTTTACCTGGGAATCTTAATACACACCAATGCCAGAAATAGATCTGACTAACTGGATGAAAATGCACACAGTCTAACTTTGAACACAGGAATTATTTTGTATGCACATTAGCATGTTGTCAAAAGGCAACCATCAATCACAAAAGTGGATAACTGTTGCAGTGAATGTTTTGCTCTCAAAGTTACATGAACTTACTGGTAAGTACGAACACTGAGAATACACAGGCAAACTTATAACACAGAGCTGATATCATTTCTTAAAAGGAAACTGGTCCAGCAGGTTTTTGCATAATATCATGCAGCAGGCAAACCTAGTCCAATCACTATGACAACTGTCACCCTACTGTAAAGTGTGCCTGTTAATGTTCAAGGGTTCCTGTGAAGCATGATATCACAGTGTATGGAATTTATAGTATTACTATCAGAGTCTCAACCAGTTTACTTTTAGACTTTTTTTTAATAAATGAATTCTTGGTCATTAGTCTTCATTTAACAAATGTAAGGAATCATTTGCCATTATGTGTAAATTCCTACAATACTGGACTTTTGAGGTAATGGTTAAACCATTACCTCAAAAGTCCAGCTGACAATGGCTTAGAAACAAATATGTGATAAGAAATACACTTGATAGTGGATCATGGTAGACAAACTTTGAATAGCACCACGATTACAAAGTTACTATAAACATATCCCAATCTCTTACTGGTGGCGATATATCTGTAATAAGTTAATACTGATCCTCTTCAAGATAAGCGGTATAGATAATAGTTCACACTGGCCAATAATATCAGTAGGGCCAAAAGAAACACTAGGAAAAAATGTTATAGATGAACTACAACTCAGACAATTACAATCCCAGCTAGTGAAACATAATTTTGTTGTGTGTTTATGCATGCAGTTGAGAAACACAGAGCAAAGAGAGTCCATGTGTTGAGAAACACAGAGCAAAGAGAGTCCATGTGTATCAGTTCAAATCCACCACTCATCTCCTCAAACATGCACATCCACACACACTCACCATTTGCACACAAGTTATATAATGTCTGCTGAATGCAACCTGGACATTGGCTGTAAAGTAGCCTTTCTCAAACTTAGGGTTCCAATCCAAAATGGGTTATGGACCCGTTTTTATTGGGTTGCCAGTTGGGAGAGTAAAATGCATAACAATGCTATGATATGTGAATTCATTTTCCAAATCTTCCAAAAATAGAAGAGTGCTCTTTATTTTATGTGGATCTGTTCATCTCAGATGCTAAATGAGAGCCTCACTCTCTCTCTCTCCTCAACCTCATCTCAGCAGGTATCAAAGTTTGTGAATTTTCCTGGTGGGCCTATATACTGTATTTTTCTTCCAAACTGCTTAGACATTATGCAGCCTATAGGCCTACATATACTCAACAGGCCTGCTGCATTGCTACCAGCTTTAAAAGCCATGTGGGCTATTGCAAAGTAGATGTGGTAGGAAATAAAACCTGGAGAGATGGAAAAGCATGACCCGCACTGCAGGAAAGAAAACAGACTTGTTGGCTGATGCTAAGCGTGCAACAGTAGCTAACAGACTATTAACAGTAAACCACAGACTATAAACAGCTGCTGTGTCTGATGATGAGTAAAGCAGTAAAGAAGTAGGTGCATCAAGAGAGGAGTGAGTTGGGTAGGCGCTGTGTCACTGACAGTTTGCTTTAAGTTTGATTAGCTACTATAGAGCTGCTCAACCCACTGTTTGTCTAATCACTCCTAGCTAGTGGCTACTGAGTCAGTGGAGAAATGATTAAAGCAGTAATAATGTTAAAGTTAATGCTAAATATGTGCAAAGAAAGTGCAAAAAAACAAACAGGGAACTGTTTTATAAGGGAACAACCTTTTATAAAGAAGAAAATGGGCTGCTCAGCATATTATAGAGCACTCATCATTTATTTTTGCTATAGTAATTGATCAGCAGCCCAACAGTAAAATGATGTCTGTTAAATACTTACTGCATCATGCTGAAAAAGAAAGGGAGAGGATGGAAGAGGAGGGAAAAGGAACCAGCACAGATTATGCAAACTACTTAATGTTAGTGTGTGACTTAAATAAATTAGAGCACTGTGTATCAATACATATGATCAGGCTGGACTACTCTTCAAATGTTATTTCTTGTTGCATAACATGAAATTAAATGAATGGAAGGTATGTTGCGTAATACACCACACATAGCTGCCTATGTTAAGGTTGTACTATTCATTCTGAATGTAATGAATATAGTAACTGGATGATAGTCCAACTGATATCTGTTTCGTAGAGGTTTATGAGGTAGTGAGAAATCTCATATTACTCTCGGAAACTTCATTGTTGCTGTGATGTACTTTTATAATGAAATAAACTTATTTCATATAGGTTCCATTGTATATTCAGGGTTGGCTGTGTTCATTTGTTGTGTTAATTTACAACTGCAGATGTTGTAGCATTTCCTGATGTATTTTTGTAAATTTGGGTCCTGGACAGAGACCAAATTTCTCTTTTGGGTCTCAAAAAAAAAAGTTTGGTAACCACTGCTGTAAAGGATCTTTCCTTAATTTCAAATCCTCTGCTGGTTTTGATATGAAACAATGTGAGAACAAGTTTGAACTGTTATAGAGTATAGCATTTTGCAGAAGCAGCTGGTAGCTGTCAAGGCCCATCCAAATCGAAAAACATCCCCAGGGGGGTTTTTGTCATCTTAGAGCACAAGGTTAGGATAACAAACATGAGTTCTCTTTTCTCACTAAAACCTTCAAACCATCAGGTTCTTGTGTAAGCACAACACTCCTTTACAGGCCGCACATCTCCTAGTTACATGTATTTGGATTGCTACTATAAGACTCAGTGCATAAACACAGCTGCCAGAACTAGTCCCTTATATGATTATAAATGATTAACAGCAGTGGTTTTCACTAAATATGAGCATGAAAATGCATGGTTTTCCAAGCAGAAATTGTTTTGTTCCATAGTTCAGAATAAATAAAAACGCACCCTGCCATGGTCTTTTGAGTGTTTAGCAGTTCCACTGAGTGCATTCAAAGATGTGTTGAAAGGTAATATGTTGCATAACTACAGGTAGTCATTTATCTTGATTCCCAGAATGACTTTTTTTATATTGCTCTAATGTTTATTAACTTGTCATGCATTTATACATGCCTAGCCCACATGGGCTTACAAGACACCAACAAAACATGAACAGCCAGGTCCTGCCTCCTTTATAATAAATTATAATTCAAATGGCTGGAATCAATGCCACAGTGTAATAATCATACCCATTCTACTATATATTCTGTGCTACAAACACAATGTCAATATATTCCAGGACGATTTCTAAAGTAACATTATGTCCAAGGCTGTGTGGCTTTTGGGTAGGACCTGGCACTGGAGTATTAGCTTCTAAAACACAACTTATACTGTATGTTTCCACAGGGACAAGGTCAAATTAGAATCACTAAGTCATATGGTATGGGTGTGAAGGGCAGCTGCTGTCAGTAAGCATCACATATACAAGTGACTCAGTGAAACCCAGTGAAAAGACTAAAAGTGGTAAGGCTGGGTTCGATGAAACCTTGTTAAGGGAGAGGCTGCAAGCAATTCCTCATACACCACTGTCTTTCTAAGGTGAGCCCAAACCAGTTGCTACAGCTTTACTACACAACCTATCAGCCACACCCTCACTTCAGTTAAAGCACCCACTGTGCAAAAGAATGTACAACTTAAACGCAAATCATGCAGACACCATCTCATCTCAATTACATTAGGCCCCAACAACTCAGACTGAAACTACCTGCACCAGAAAGACAGTTTTGCTGGTCAACCTCTAGCAGTTAGACTACTATGAAGCAAGTTAGTCCAAGACAGAGTACACCACGTTCTCTTGTTGCTTGTTCAGCACAGGTAACACACTCCATTGATAAAAAAAAGACTAAATTAAAATATCTAGAGGCAAAATAAATCACTATTTATATAAACTGATATGATAACGTGCTTAATCCGGCAATAATATAATCCACTTTGCACCAATTTATTATAATGAAATCTATATTTCAATATTTCCAACATTATTTTTATATCAATTACGGTCTTTTCTGGAGCAAGATTATATTTATCTCATTTATTTATTTGCTTACTTAATTAGGGCCGATACTAATTGACATAGCCAGTGATTAAAGAGAAGCCTCCGCCCCTTAGGCGGATTGTTACAATCGAAATGAAGGGTGACGGGAGTTTTAGGTCAAGTTAGTACAGGTAGACTAGCTATTTGTGTAACTTCACTACGAAGAAAGGTCACTTTAGGGGATTTTTAAAATCTAATACATGTAGTAAAACGGAAACATTCGGCTGGGTTGTTTCTAGAAAACGTCATAGCTAGGCCTACTTGTAAAATTCTCCTACTTACGCTGGTTTTGACTGCGTTATAGGAGTAGTCTTGGTCTTTCTCTTGAACATGGTGGCAGGTCACCTGTCAGAAAAGAAAACAATCCCAGCGGGACAGGTGAACGTCAGCTGTGCGTGTGTCCTCTGCTCGTTCCAATGTTCCCGGTGTGAGTGTGTCTTGTGTCCACACACCCTTCTCAGTGTCGGAGCTTCTCTTCCCTCAGATACTGTACCAGCGGTACTGGACTCTCCACCTAGAAAATTCTACTTTAGTTTTCACACCCGACCTGTGTAGGCCTATCTGTCAGCCTGTAGGGATGGGCGGAGCCACAGAGAGAGGCCCCGCCCGTCAGGTGTTCCCAGCCGAACACACAGTGCACATAATAGCCTTACAATAAGCACTGCAGCAAATAAATATCAATTATAATGTCCTTAAAACGAACATTATGCTTTAAGAACAGTAAATGATCTCATTAATATTGTACATAATACAAAACAATGTAAAACAGGATGTGAAAAAATTATTTGTGTTGAGAAAAGTACTTTGGAAAACATATTTTACTTAAAGTGACTGTACAGATACCATTCTTTAGTGTAACAGATTTATAGTTGGATAGAAAGTATGACACAGTGGTACATTTTTAATACATATCAGCTATGTCCATATAAAGACATGGGCACAGCCCTCGGATGTGTGTGTGTGCTTGCGTAGGTAGGCCCAAAGTTTGTAGTTCGGCGGGTGTGGCAACAAGGACTACACTGGCTGAACCAGTTGGACTTGACAGTGTCTTCTGTGTGTGTGTGTGTGTGTGTGCTCCTGGTACCACTTGGGGACTGAGGCCTGTTTCCACCTCAGGCTGTGGGGACTCAGGTTTCCCCCCCCCCTGGGCACCAGGGCACTGATCCCCACCTTGTAAATAATTACATTTTAGGGTTACAACTTGATTTAAGGTTAAGTTAGGATTAGACAAGTTGCAGAGGTGGAATGTAACTAAGTATATTTACTCAAGGGCTGTATTTAAGTGTGATTTTGAGGTAGTTGAGTATTACAAATATTGTACTTTTTTCTTCACTACATTAAAAAAAACTTTTGTTAGTAGTTACTCTTCAGAATCTGATTAAATACAGTAAAAAAAATACTTTATTGATATCAGGTGGGAAATTCACAAGCTACACATCAGTACTTCAAGCTATAAGCATATGCTGTAAGGTAGTTGAATTTATCTCCACCTTTACCAGCTGCAACATTAAATATAATACTTGTGCTGTTCTGCATAATGAGTACTTTTATGTTTGGTACTTTAAGCATAATTTGTACTTTTACTTAAGTTAATTTTGAATACAGGAATTTTACTTGTAACTGAGTATTTTTACACTGTAGTATTTCTACTTTTACTTAAGTAAATAATCAGAGTATTCCTTTCACCACTGATAAGTAGTGGTTATGGTTAAGCTTAGGATCAGTCTCCAGTAAACAAATATAAGTCAGTGTAAAGGCCCCCATGATTAATGAAAACAAGTGTGTGTGTGTGTGTGTGTGTGTGTGCGTGTGCACTCGTGCACACTCCCAGTATTACTCACACTGTGGTATGTGGTATGTGTTGTTTTTTGTGATGGTGTAGCCAAGCCTCTCTAGGCTTACAATGGCTGTAGCATATATCAGTTCATCACCAGGTCTGAGGTATGGTAGTATGAGGATGTGTTGTGATGGCTCTATTGGCATCTACTACTATCTGATGTAGTTTCCCCACTAGTCAGGGACTGACTGTAGCCAGTTTATCAGTTATTCTTTGCCTCAGGTTGGTGGTTGTGCTCTGTATTCAGGGGCTGGTAGAGCCAGTCCAGCTTCCTCATACTAAAATGTCATCTACTGTGTGTGTCCACAGCTTCAAGGTGCTTATAAATCATGTAGATTGTTTTGTGATACACTTCAGATACTGAAGCAATGCCATAGAGGAATAGAAGAAACCTGTACTGGCCAAATGGACTGTTTTATGTGCATAGCTTTGTACTTGCATCATCCAGCTTAAATTGCTGTTATGGTTAGTCCCCCTCACCAGGAGGGTGAGGGAGGACTGAGGTTGGACTCAAGTTTGCAGACCCAGGTGCTAGGGGGAAAAACATGTTGGTTGCTGGTTATAAAAGAACACAAAGTATCAAAAGAACATAACTATGTCCAGGTACATAAAAGTCCGGGTAGAGTAGAGATGGTGGAGGGAATCAAAACAGGTGAACCATGGGACTGATGGCAAAAACCAAAGGGCAGGAAGATGAAGACGGACAGGATAAAGAAAACCCAACGTACTTAACATAATCCACCGCACAGGGACTGTCAGCGTGGAAAACAAAAGACGTCTTGCGAAACGCGTAGATAATGTGAATAAGGTCAAGCCAAAACACACAGGAACTGTCAGCGTAGCATCTTACACACATACATTTATGTGGTCAAAACATAAATCACAATCCTTTGTGTAGGTGATGTGGTGTAAGTTAGTGCAGCGCATAAGTAGTGTGGTAGAGTCAAGCCAAAATGCACAGTGTCTGTCAGTGTAGCATTCTACCAACATGTACATTACGCGGTACATAGTTGATGTTCCAGCAACCGTGGAGCGTCTGTCAGCGGTATAAATAAGGAGGAGAAGGTCATCTTCGGGATGCACCCCAGCTATGTGCATCTCCAAACGAATAGCTAATTACTGGAATGCAACACAGCTGAGGTGCAGAGCCCACAGAATCTAGAGAACAGAGGAGAGAAAGGCGGAGGAGAGGCAGCGGCCGCCGAGCAGCCCTGACAGTTGCCAAAATCCTAAAGAAGCATCTAGCTTGCTGAAGTATTTTGCATTTGCAAACTGAGCCATTATTTCCTCTCTTGTAGGAACTGCTCTCTCCGAATTCCTCTGTTCAGGGTTTCATGGATCCATACAAACTCTAGGCTTACTATTCTTTATGTCTACGATGACGAAAGAACTCACCCAACTGGCTCGGCTGATCATTTTTTTTGGATTACTTCAGGCTTTCCATCATGTCTAGCTATGCTTTCAGTGGCTTCTGTGAGGCAAATGGCACTTTTTTGTACAGATTAATGACTGGTGACATGCTTTTATCCACCCCGAGTATGTGCTCTCTAAAAAGGCAGCCAAGACCCTGAAAACGGTCCTCATACTTTTTCATGAACTCAGCATAGTCCGTATCTGCTTCACTTTCTAAGTCCGTATCTGCTTCACTTTCTACCACATACACTCTCTTTAACAGGTTCAGTCTCACACAGAATGATAAACCCAGGGGAGCGGCCCTGACAGTTGCCAAAATCCTAAAGAAGCATCTAGCTTGCTGAAGTATTTTGCATTTGCAAACTGAACCATTATTTCCTCTCTTGTAGGAACTGCTCTCTCCGAATTCCTCTGTTCAGGGTTTCATGGATCCATACAAACTCTAGGCTTACTATTCTTTATGTCTACGATGACGAAAGAACTCACCCAACTGGCTCGGCTGATCATTTTTTTTGGATTACTTCAGGCTTTCCATCATGTCTAGCTATGCTTTCAGTGGCTTCTGTGAGGCAAATGGCACTTTTTTGTACAGATTAATGACTGGTGACATGCTTTTATCCACCCCGAGTATGTGCTCTCTAAAAAGGCAGCCAAGACCCTGAAAAAGGTCCTCATACTTTTTCATGAACTCAGCATAGTCCGTATCTGCTTCACTTTCTAAGTCCGTATCTGCTTCACTTTCTACCACATACACTCTCTTTAACAGGTTCAGTCTCACACAGAATGATAAACCCAGGGTGGCCTGCACATCCTTTGGCACCACTATATATGCAAGTGCATGCTCTTTGTCCTTGTGTGTCACTTTGCCTGCACATTTTCCTTTCACCAGTATTGCTGCTCCTGAGAACCCAGCTACTTCCACTTTTGTTGCATGTAGATTAGGTCTGGGCTTAATTTTCATGAACTCAGTCTCTGACATCACATTTGCTTGAGCTCCCATATCCAGTTTCATTGTAATATGTGTAATTCACTTTCAGTCATTATCCAATCTCGTTTTTCAGTTAAAATTCTTCTTTGTCACTTTCCTCTACCATATCGACTTTGCTTTGTTGTGTTTGACTTTTATAACACCAGGCATAATGGTTGTTCTTGCTGCTGTTGTTGCATTTCTTGTCAAATGCTGGGGTTTTTTTTATAGGATGTTGTGCACCACATCGTCCACAAATCTTTCCTTGTCCGTCTTTATTTTCTAGTTTTACCTTTTTCACCTCAGAGATGATGCTCTTATTTTTGACTGTTCTGGTTCTTCCTTTCTAATTGCATCCACACTGCAGCTTTCACTGAACAGCTCTTTTGCTTGTGTTTTCACAGTCTTTGCTGCTCTGCACAGTATTAATGCATTTTCCAGGTCCAAATCTGAAATCTGAAAAATCTCTACCTCTCATACATCCTTTTTCTTTTAGTTATACAATACACCTTAAACTTCTCAGTTATTTTGTCCAGCTTCATTTTATCTCCATCAGCAACCTACGTGAATTTATTATAAACCTCCAGCCCTTTCTCACCCACATGCAGAACACTGAGGGTTTCATTTTTTTTACACTTCTTGTCAGTGCCAGTTGCAGCTAGGTACAGCTCAAAATGTACTGTAGCCTAAAACCTCTCAATTTTTCAGCCACATTACCTGTCAACTAAACTTTGAGTGGTGGACGTAATCCTTCCATTTTTCATTTGCTAGGACTTTTTTTCTGAGTAGGCCAGCAACGTCCTGCACCAACTGGCTGATGTTTATCTGCTGGGTGGCTTACAATTCTAGTACACTCCTGCACCATGGCTAACCCTCCATGTTAACTTTGAAGTTAATCTTTTCTCATTAGTCCATCTTTTGACACCATGTTTTGTTTGTTTCATGGGTTCTTCAATAATGACACAGTTGTGTAGTTAAACCAGAGAAGTCTTTATCGGGCATGCTAGCAACTCTAATGTACACAGGAGACCACTTTCTGAGAACACCTACATTACTCACTACATGTACAATGCACATGCGCCAGCTGATGGGCTTAAAGTAAGAACAAGCAAATCCTTATTTGCTCCTATCATTACAGGATACAAATCATGTTCTTCCAGGTCTTCTTTGATCTGGGTTGTAATGTGTGTAGGTCAGTCTCAAGCTGTGCGAGTAGCTTCCTTTAAACTATGTTGAACTGTTAAGTAACCAGTTGTTTCTCAGTTGGTATGAATGTACTGTAGGTCTTGCATCCACGGTTCCTTCTTATGTTTGGTACACCCCCTCTCATTATCTCTGCTCATTAGATCTACTATCATAGTAGCATTCCATCACATCCAAGTTCTCATTGCTT